GCTCCTGGGCCAGTTCACTGAAACGATTTGAGATAGTACAATCTGAACAGGATACAGTAAGGGTCATTTTTCAATACAGTCGCAACCAAGTTCTTGGGCTGAGGTCGACTGGCTTCGGGATAAGTGCTGAGGATCTAAGGCAATGTGTCCTCCAATTCTGGAAAGATTTCTTTCAATAGGCTCAGGGTTTGGAATGGGGGACTGTTCCCTGAACTACGGGATCAAGGAAGTCCATTTAACATAGTAGCTAAAGCAGTGGACCCAGGGCCCGCCTGAGCCGCGTCCTCCCATCCATCTATTCCTCCTGCAGGTGAAAAGCCTGGGCAAACAGGTGCGAAGCCATGACAGCTGAGCCCAAACCCGCACTCATCTTGGCTCTTGTGGTCAGAGCTGCAGCAAGTGGGAGAAGCCACTCTCTGAATGGGCATTCACCAGCTCTCCTGACAGGCAGCTCAGAAGCTGGGTGTGATTTCTCCACAGCCGACTTCCCCCAGCTCACACGAATAGGACCCCTTGGGCACAAGAGTGTTTTCCATCAATAGGAAACTGCCACATCCCATATAACCACGCTTGTCCTCTGAAGCAGTGGAGCTATTTAAAAGGTGCCTAGTGGGGCATGAAATCTAGAGAGGAAATGCTGAAGCTCTGTGAAGAATTTAGGTAGGTGGAGTGTGATTACTGAAGTTGAAATCTGTCCAGACCATTGAGTTAACCACTAATGTGATAAAAATGAATACTGTGGGCTTGTTCGATGACTTCATTCTACCTGAGCCTATTAATATTGTCTAAGTCATTAAAAAATCCTGTGTACCATTAAACATGAATGATGACACTGGGTAAACCTTGGGCAGATGGTCGCCTTAATGGAGCACCACTCAAAACCGCAGTGGCCCCCTAGGATTGGAGCTGGCTGTTTTTAGCCATTGTGATTGACATAAGCACGTGTCATCAAATTCACATGGGGAGCGTGGCTTTGGGGCAATGTAACAGAAAATTATCCCTCACACACTGACGAGCAATTAATCCTGAAATATGCATGAGACGGCATAGGATTTAGTACTGAGACAAGCCAACGATTTAGAAAAAGCCAGAGGTATTTCAGCAATGTCCTCGGTAGCCTTTCCATAGGGAGAGAGATAAAGGCAACAGCTGATGGAGATAGCACGCCAAGAGCTTTTTTTTTTTTTTTAAGATTTATTTATTTTTGATAGAGCGAGCATGGGCGGGGGAGGGGGCGGAGAGAGAGGGAGACAGAGGATCCCAAGCGGGCTTGGTGCTGACAGCAGTGGGTCTGACGCGGGGTTCAAACTCACGAACAGGGAGATCATGACCTGAGCCAAAGTCGGACACACTCAGTTGACTGAGCCACCCAGGCGCCCCAAGAGCTTTCTTTCTCGACGCAGGCTCTCGTCTGGCCCTGGAAAGTCAGCAGTGCCCGTTGCCTTGCCCTATGTTCAAGATGTTCTCCCCAAGTTCCCGTTGGGAGTAGAGCTTGTGTCCTATCACTCTGGAAGCAGAGAAGTAACTGGTAATACGTTTGAATGTATGGCAGGCCTGGTGTGGACAGGAGTGTGGACACTCTCCAAGGAGCCACACCTTGGGCATTTTTGAGATTCTGTCCCATACTGAGAACCTGGCAAACCTTCACGGCAGAAGAAACGAAAGGCTTTCCACCTCATGAGATGGTTCCTTCCACTGGGAAGCGCTGCTGTCACTCCCTAGCAGCTCACGAGGGGGAAACACCCACTGATAACACCCCAATCTGGAAGGAATTTGGAGCTGGTTTCGGTGCACAGCTACACGACCACCAGAATTCAAGTCTGATGCCTGCCTCAGACCCGCGGCCAGGGTGGACTGTCCAATAAAGACTGGACTCAGTCGCCGAGCTGGGATTCAGGACTGGGCAAAAGGATGACCCAGGCAGATCACAGGGTAGCTAGGGAACAGCTGAGTTTTCCTGAGCGCAAGGTTGTAACGAAATAGGCCTCAGTGCTGAAGTGTATGATTTCAAAGTCTTCCACGGTTTGCCTTGTAGTCAGAAGCCCCCATGAGACCAAGATCCTTATGAAGAAGCAGGTTAAAGAAACAGACAACTGACGCTAACTCGGTTTTAACGTTTTATTGGGTAAATGATTTTAAAGATAGTAACAATAGTGTCAAAACTACTACAATATCTTTCCACAGCCATACCTTACAGACCCACATAAACCTTCTCATGTTTCCTTTCGCTCAGTTTTAATATTTTCAAGCTATACATATCATATAAAATGCCCGTTTCCAATAGTTTCTTCAAACTATTAAGCAATTAAATGTGGAGGGAAGGAGGATCTAGTTTATACCTGGAGGGGTTTCCGGTGATCTGTGATGTTTCAAGGTAACCCAAAACCAGGGGACTAGGAAAGGAGGAAAAGTAGAGCTACTCCAGGTAGCTGTTGCTCATTACAAGTCTCACCACTGTATCACCAAGAACTCAGTATGCTGGTGACGGATTCAAAGTAATTTCAGGGAACATATAAAACACTAAAATAACTTAGAAACTAGATCCAAATATTTCAAAAGTAATTGACTTCGATATACAAAAACAGTCAGAGGTGGTTACAAAAGTTTATTTTCTCAGTGCGTCTATGTACCAGCGCAGTTACTGGGTCCAGAGCAAAATAAAAGGTTTCTTTTCTTCTGAAACAGTAATAAAAAACAAGGAAAACATATCTTTGTATATAAAGGATCGATGCTGGTCTTAAGAATAATGTAATTGGAAACCCTTAAATCGAGAGGCACACAACGGGTTTCTGCTTTTAAAAAATAAAAGGAAAGTCACCAGTTTATTTCAATGGAGGAGGTGCTCACACCACTCAAATAAACGTAATTCAATTTAACATCACTAGCAAAAATCACTTAGAAACTGTACAAAAATAAAAAAGTGAACACATTTAATCCTGCAAGGTTTTTGTAAGGACTGGAAGGCAGGCTTTTAGAGCAGCATTTGGGCATGGCTGGGGGCTTCTTTGGTTTGATCTAACACACATAAGAGATGGAGCCTATTCCAGATGACAGTTTCAAATTTCCTGCACATTTGAAGACACGAAAAGAGGCCAGTATACAAACTTCCGGTGTGCTGGGTGTTGGGACTGTGTGTACTGGATTGAAAATCTTACAATTGCTTTACAGGTGGTGGGGGGGAAAGAGCAAGCCTTGCACTTCCTCCATCAAATACACCGACCTCTCTCCGTAGGGGAGACTGGAGCTGGAGCGGGTAGTAGCACATTCTCGTGCAGTCAGAAGGCCACTTAATGGGGGGGGGGAGGGGCACAATTGTTCTTTTAGAATCTGGTACCTGGCTGACCTTGTTTAAGAACAAGAAAACCTTCCAGATATGAAAGCCTTTTGCTACATACCAAAAAGTAAAACGGGTTACTGTTTCCCAACAGGAAAAATACCCAGTTGCATTTAAAAACAAAACAAAACAAAAACAGAAATGGAACTAATTAACATTTAAAAGGGGGGGCAGTGTAAACTTTGTGCTACTCAAATGAAGTTCAAGTATTACTTCCGAGCTGTTTAAAGATCGCTGAACTTATACAATATTCTGGTGCTAAGAGTGCAATTCGCATTTGTGTTTCTGAACAAATAAACCACAACTGGCTAAAACAACCTGTGCAATCAGAATCTTCGTCTGAGTTAAAAACACTTGCTACATATTTCAACATGTTCAAAGTGAATTCAAACCACATATTTGACAGCTTTGTAATATACGACAGAGGTGAAAGGGTCTAGCACTTGTTTGTTTGAAGCACACCATTATGGTTTGTATAACACCCTTTACAAAGCTACGAAGTCTTTTTAGTCAACAGCTAGAGACAAAAATGCACTGTGCATTAATCCGAAAACAAAAGGAGACAAAACTATCCTTTTCCCCCAAGCCATGGTGGGAAATATTGCTGACCTCGTCCTCTGAAGCCTGCAGGATGGTTATTTCTTCAGTATAACATTATTACACTGGTTTAAGAAAAATCTGTATAACATCTGCATATATCAAGAATTTTAAAAAATCTGATATGATTTTAGAGTCCGCATGACCAGTCACGTGACCTGCTCAAGATTGATTAGCACCGTTAAATACATAAACACACATATGTGTGTGTGTATAAGTATATGTATACACACACACATATGTATGCCATAGATCTTTTCTTAAAAAAACAAAAACAAAAAACACAACTTCTAACCATGAGCTCACCTAAGACGAGGAGCCTTGTTGAATTGATGAGATGATGGATAGGATGGGTCAAAATTGGTCTATTTTGTCTCTCGTCAGTTTGCTTGTTTTATTTACCCTTTTTTTTTTTTTTTGCAGCAGACAATAGCATTCAGCTTGTGCTCAGTTTCCCTATAAGGGCAAGAAAAAAGTCTCTATCAGGTAGCCACTTGGTTTTACACTGAAAGACTGATCTGCTCCAAAATGCTCCCAAGTAGAAACGAAAGGACTCAAAATCCCTTTTGAGAGACCAACAGCTAGCTTTCTCTGACTAATCTCGAGTCTCAGTGGAACCAGCTACCGAGATTGCATTTCAGGCTAACAATTGGCTTCTTAGTTAAGGCATCACAACTGAAAATGGTTATTTCAACAATGGGGGCTGTGGATGAAGGAATACCAACCAACTTCTAAGTACTCTCATCAAAAACTAAAGCAGTTTGCTTTGCCACAGTGGCAAGCAGAAGGAATTCTGGCAGTTCTCTGGCAAACTAGAAAAGAGTTTTTGATTTCTGAACTAGCAGTCTGTCGCTTGTCACCTAAGCTCTGCCATTTTGATATCCAGTGACATCTTTAAGTTTTGGACTATATATTCTGCACCATACTTCTGTTCCTCACTTGATATACTGGCTTCCTGTTTGAAAAAAATTGCACACCCAAACGCGTGCATGCGTGCGCGCTCGTGCGTGCATACACATACACACGCGCGCGCGCGCGCACACACACACACACACACACACACACACACACACACACAGTTTTATAGTAAAATGAAGGTAATCTTTCTCCAGAATCATCTGTCATTTTTTCCTGGGGATACCCACAGAGACTTCCTACTGAAGTTCTCTTTGCATGCCCAGGGGGAGAAGACCAGACCGGCCAATGGGCTGGGCTCTGACAACTATATCATCTCTAAATACCAATTTTATAGGTGTAACATAACGTAACATCTTACCAGCACAGTAAAGGTGTTTCTATCAAAAGTATGTAGTGCAGAAAGACTCCAGTATTGTCCCCATGACAAACATAATCTGAAATCATGGCAATATATGAACTTTTGTTTCACTAGATTCTCTTTACTATTTTCTTTAAATAGTAGCTAGAATTATCTCTGACCAATCATGATTTCTTGAAACCTAAAGCTAACGAATTTAAATTAATATATCATAGACAAATGTCTCTTTTTGGTTAGTTGCTCAAAATAAATTTTTTTCACCTTAAAAAAATACTTAGGAGTAAGGAATTTGTCTCATCTGTTGTTTCACATATAGAAACAATAAAATTTTATAAGACTATTTCTCTAAATTGCCTTTTCCCCCCTAACCTCTCTCCATTCAATTTAAGTATATTCTTCTCAAAGGCACTAAATTCTGTATCTGCTCTCTTCCTCATATTTACTGCTCTTCAAAATGATTTTTGTAGCATATTTGAAAGGTAGCTTGCACTTTCTTAAAACAGTGTTGTCGTTTGTAAGTTGGTTCTATAAAGTGATGAGGCCATCTCTTCAGTGATAACCAGCAAAATAGGCATACATGGTTTCTCACTCTCTGTGACAAGCCCTATCGTGGACCTTCGAATGTTCTATACTAGAACTAAAGTTCATATATTTTAACCATGGGAAAAACACACACCTAAGGAGTGAAGATCCACATACTAAGCCCTCACAGCAAACTTAATTTTAGACAAATTCGAGTCATATGCAAATACCTGAATTTGATATGAATTGCTCCCAAACTCACCTATCAAAAATTATCTATCTTACTGAAGAAAACTAAAGAAAAACCTAAATAAAATCCTTAAAAACTGCACAATTTCTTCCATCCACAGTTGAAAGAAAGAGGGAAGAGAAGACAGAAAGGAGGAAGGAAACGAGACAGGGAGGAAGGCAAGAAGGACAGAAAGACAGAAACCTGATTTAGAGAGCAAAACAAAATTCTACATGATATTGTGAGGAAAGAAAACCCCAAAAGTTATATATGCTGCAAAAAAAAAAATCAATGACCTAAAATAATAAAACAGAAAATTCTTAACAAATGTCATTTTCCTACCCGTTACCATGATGATCTTAACTGACGATGTCCAAGCTTCATCATGGCAACGGAAACTATCATCATAAAATGGTACAGTAAAAGAGATAGCTAGACCAAGAAGGGGTAGGGTCTCCTGGGAAGAGGTCTGCAGAGAGGCCCAGTGACTGGTTGTGCGGCTCAGTGTCAGGAATAATGGTTGTATGGTGGAAGGGGATGCCCAATGCCATTTTGGAAATGATGATGCTGGCGATGAGCAAGGTATTCAGCATAGCTCAGGGTCATCTTTTCACTACGGTACCTGAAAAAGTCAGGGAAGAGATAAAAAGTTAACATCAAGAAACAGATGACATGCCAAAGTCAGAGCTAGGAGGGATCTCAGAAATAACCTCACAGATTTGGGAGAAACAGAGGTACAGAGAGAAGCAGTGACTTGCCCAATGTCACACAACCAAGTAGCAAGGCTGAGATCAGAACCCAGGAATCCAAAGTCTGAGTCCAGTGCTCTTTTCTACTCTACTACTCCTTGTTTGAATTGTTCTAGAAATTTTATTGCCCCAGCCCCTAACCCCAGTTTGCTAACAGGAAGCAACAGAGGAAAGCCTAACTATTGCCATCATGTACGCATCTCATTTCCTCAACTGCTTTTTCTTGCAGGACCTTTCCAATTTCGCCATTCCTTTCCCTCCATCCACACATCTGTGCAGGTCTTGCCACTCAATAAAAACGGCAACAACAAAACCAAAATACCTAACACTGGTATCCCAAACCCTCTCTCTCCCCCATCTCTAGCTTTCTTTGCATTGCTGCACTGCTCAGAAGAGTCACGTGTGTTTCCTACCTTCAGCCCTTCGTCTCCTGCTACTCCTCCACCTGGCATTCCTTGGCTTCTGCCGCTCTTCCACGGAAACTGCTCTGTCAGCAGGCCCCCCCTGCTTCTACTTGACCTTTCCAATATGACACCATCCACCACTGCCTTTCTGAAGCTCTCCCCTATAATGGGTTCTACACCACCACACTGCCTCGATTCTCCCCATGGCCCCCTGTCTCTCAGACTGCTCCTCCTGCTCCTTCATGCCTCGTCAGACTGTGCTGTTTCTACCTTCAGTTCTTTTGACCCCATGCTCTGTGCCCCCTCCGTGAGCCCTACCTTTACAGCTTCAACTATGACCTCTTGACAGATGATCCCAAATCACCACCTCTGGCCACAAGTTATGGATGTGTACATTTTCAGTGACATACTGGACGTTTCTACACAGATATCCCAGGAGGTGCTTCGACTCCAGAATCCGTGGAGAAACGGGACTTTCCTCCTGTGGTCCCTCCCTTGGTGAAAGGGATTGCCTTGGTCCTTTTTATCTAGATAAAGCCTTGACTTGGTCCTGTTCCCTACTTCTGAATGATGAGTAAGACCCGTCATTTCTTCCACAGTGTTTTCTCACTGGTTTCCTCCTTTCTTCTCATCCTACCACCACAGCTCTTAGTCAGGCTTCCATTTCACCCCCTTTGGATCGCTGCCACAGAGTCTTGGATAGCAGCAACGCCTCCTAATTTTCCTGTTGCCAATTCCAATCTTACACCTTTGCAAATCCGTCTGCTTAAAACCCTCCAATGGCTACTAACTGCTTGTAGAATCAGGTCTTAACTTCTTCATCTGGAGCTCAAGACCTTCCATCATATGACCTAACCCCCCTTCTGGGCCATGTTTTGCTCTAATGACCACCTCCTTATAGATCTATACTGAAAGGCCAGACACATCAGACTGTTGAACATTCCTCGCTCAGTCATTGCCTTGACTCACAAAATTAATCCCTTCCCCCCCCCCCCTCAAATAGTCTACCCAGTCTTCAAGCCCAGCATCAAATCTACCTCTCGCTGAAATTTTATGTTATCCCCTACCCGTCCTGGAATATTCCTCTTTCCCTACTGTATGATTTGACATTATCCATCACATTCTGCCTGATATTAATAATTATTCTTGTACATGCCCTTCTATTCTCCTAGACTAAACCCAGGCAAGGCAGAGAGGGAGACATTTTCAGATCTGTAACTCCTCAGAGCTGAGAAAAGTCCATTTTTAGACTATAGGCATTTAGTGCGGTTTTATGGAATTGAAACAAATGGAAACAGCAATCCATTTTCCTAAAATGTTGGGTTTTTTTTTTTAAGTATCCCTATAATCCCTGTCGAAATGTATTTGATGTTTGTAAGTCTAGCTCAATTGTGATTTTTAGTAAGCTTTCACAGTAGACTTCTATCACTGCCAACATCCTAAGGTTTAATTCAAATTTGAGGACTGCTTAGCAGACTCCAGGGCTCCTGCTAAGCCATGTCAAAAGCTAGCCAATCGCGAATTCAGGTGACTTTCTTCTAGAATGTAGTTGAAAAAGGCTCAGAGGGCTTGCTTGTGTAAAGCCAGAGTAATCACAGAGAGCTAAAGATGGGAAGGATGGGTTCATACATCCTACAGGCTCTACTGCCTACCAGAGTTCACTGTATCTACCCTCAGTACAGCCCTGTCATTCGTTTCCATTCTGTTTCAGAAAAGAGAAGCAAGTAAGACAGACCAAAGAAATCAAAGGGCCATAGACATACGCATCATAATGTCCTAGTTAGCCTTGCACTAGAAAATGCCTTCTGTACCTGGTCAGTTTTATGGTTTTCCTGAATTCATTAGTAATTGGAGCTTTGTAGCCTCCTTTCCTCAGTAAGGAGTCTATGGTCTGAATATGGTCCCATCCTGTGGAGAGTAGACCAGATAAAATACCAGTCAAACACACGGAACAAGCACTTTCAGTTAAATACAAAATGACTTTGTAGATGGCAGCTATCACTGTCACCAAATGCCATCAACTCCTTTGGTCCTAAAAATGATCACACAGAGGGCTACAGTCTCCTCCTGGATGGAAGCAGGTTTACCATCACACACCTTAAATTCTAGCTATCCATGATGGCCAACAACATTAGTTTTTTCTGTTTGTTCTTTTTTTTTTTTAATCTCAACCACATTCAAAGACCAGAAGTCTAAGAGACTGGCAGTAAATGCTCAGTCATGTGTAGGTAGCAAACCACGGGCACTGTACTCCCCTCTAACAGTGACACTTTTAAAAGGGAGGGAAAGGCCTAAATGTCATTGTGCCATCTCAGTAGTATTTCCCGCACTAACTCATGGTAATTACTGTTCCTAATGGTATCTTTGGTGGTCAGTCAAGTGTATTTGTGCGAAGTATTCAAAGGCATTTTTATTGGTTCTGAAATGGGATGGTATACTAATAGCCGAGGCCCTCTCTCTTCTGTAAGCTTTACAAAGCCAATGGAACTACGGATTAAGACATTTTCAAATCTAACTCTCCTGTCTAGGGGATGGGGGGGTGTTCTAATGATATTAGACTTTACTGTGATATATCTCACATTTATATGGAAAAAAACATGAGAAAACCAAATGATAGATGCTTTCTGATGAGAAAAAGAAAAAAAGCTCCATAAGATAAAGAAGAAATATTCATTTCAACTAACATGAAATTGGAATTCACTAGTGGCTAGAAAGGACAAGATACTACAGAGTGAAGAGTTATTTTGTGTTACAGTGGTGGTTCATAAAGATTTGTGCTACATCTGCAAAAACAGAAAAACGTTTGATTAGGAAGGGCAGACCAAGCATATCAGACACTAATACTTCATTTAGTCTCAGTGCTCCAAATGTTAATGGGAAACCTACAATCCTAATAGTAATGGATGAGTAACAGGCAACCACCTAAGAATGAAACATTTGATACTGACAATGAACTGGGTGGCTGACTGTCAAACAAAAGGCTTGTTTGTGCCTAAAGGCTACAGCACAATGGAATATGGGAAAATGGCACTTCAAATTCGTAGCAAGCCTAAAAATAAAACCCAACTTTTACAAATCTTTGCTTTTGTTAAAGTACACTGTTGTGTGTTTTTGCTATCAAACTTTAGTGCAGGGATTCAACTTCTGTGTGAGGAATTCACTGATTTCATACAGACATTGCAGTGGCAGTGATGGAAGAATCTCTTCTTATAATTTGACACTGATCAATTATCAGACATAACTGCAAGGTCACATATCGCATTGCAATTTGTATATTTGTTCAAATTCTTCACCAGATCATATGAAATAAAGTACAACAATGACCTTGCTCCTTTGCAACCTCCGGTAGGTAGGTGGCGGTGCGTTTTGATCCTTTTTCATTGATGAATTCTATTCTAATGCCATGTACACCCACCTGAAAGAAATTGGCAGTTTTATTAGTACAGTCTTCTTCATAGAAACAGAAAGAAAAAGTTATAATTCAACTTTCAAGAGAATGCAGTTCTTCCTTTCCCCTTGTTTTTAGAAGGGCCTATCATTTTTCTCTTTCCAAAGCACTAACTTTGGGTTTGAGGGCCATGATGATGGCCATGGATACAGAAAACACTGATTTACATGTGGCAACATGTGCTGGGCTATGCTACTATGTTTGGAAACGGAACACCCGTCCCAAGGCTGTGTGTAGACTGAGACAGCCAACGGCAAGAATCCTGCCACTGCTCCCAAACTGTGGCTCAGGATAGTAAGGAACTAGACCAAGGCAGCTGACTCCAAAGAGACAGCAAACACACATCCCGTTTTCAGGTACAGTCGCCACTTCAGACTAAGTTCAAACTTCTGGGGCTGCTGACTCCCTTCCCAAACTGTCGAGTCTCTTGAAATATATGCAGATGAGCAAACCCAGTTAAGAGTTAAAAAAAAGCCAACAGCAACCAGATCTGGCACCATCACCCCATTCCATATGATGTCTCTAAAATATATGTCGTGGCTTACAGTGGGCCTGTGGCAAGCCCTCACTGTCTGTCTACATCATTGCCCTCACACACTACTGCTAAATTTACAAGTGATAGGGATTTCAAATCGCTTTGGGGCAGGGCATTTTTTGCAGTCTTATATATTAACACAGAGACCACTATAACTTTATGTGAACCATGCAAACTTTTGGTGATACCTCAAGGGGTGGGGGGTTCTCTGAGTGTGGGCAATCTCTTGCTAATATTTTATGAAAGTAATATACTTTTTCTCTAATTAGCATCTCATCAGAAGGAATCTGTCTTTCCCTCTCATATCCCGCATAGACTAGTATACAGAACTGAGGATCACAGTAGTTTCTTCTTTGTAAATGCTGATAATAAAAATGGAATTTCAAAAGCATGACAACTCCAGCCAGTTCTCCCAAATCTACAGCCACGTTAGATCAGCAGTCCCCAAGTGGAGTGTAAGGTTGGACTGGAGGGAGGATGGAAGAGCATGAAAACATGTTTATCCAGTAAGAGGCTTCTTTTCAGAGCAGGTGAATGAAGTCACAGACCTGGACTCTTTCCATCTATATGCACGTCGAAGCCTAGAAGAGGAACAGGAGTCCTTGAAAACTTCTTTTGCTTCTTTTGCCCTTACCCTGAAAGTTTCCAGTTTCTCAGGGGAGCAGAAGTCCTCTGAAAAAATCCGTTTTGTTCTTCCCCAAGGTCCTCTTTACACATCCATACATTACAATCTGTCAGATCTTCTGAGCAGTTTATTTTATGAAAGCCTATCTGTGTGGCGATTTCTTCTATTTAATATCAGTATTCTTATGAATCTCCTTCTCCTGAAAATGCACTCAGGGCAGCTGTTTAGAAACTAACACAATACGGCCTCCCATAATCTGTGGGAAACGACTATGGACAGCTGAGAAGAAATATGAGTGCTTAGCTATCAGGCATTTCCAGGATAAAGGACATCTACTAATCTCCCCAGTGCGTGACACAGTACTGAGACAATGACAGATTTGCAACAGTTTCTGTATACAGGCTTTCTGATCTGTGACTTTGAAGTTTCTTTCCTTCAACAAGATCAGCTCCATCGTAATTTGTTTTTAAAAATATACAGCAGAAATAGTTTGTTCTCCCATCCTTCACTGCAGTGAATCCTCGACTCAATTTATCAAAAATCTGTCATGTTAAAATGGGAAAGAATTTTGGTGCTTATTAAGGAGTCTAACCAAAACTGTGAGAGGAAGAAGGTTCCCCTATTTGTGAGAGGAGACTGTTAGACAAAATCAGGAGTATTTAACTGGTATGGAGGGTGGAATGGGAGCTGTGAAGTTTACCAGAATTCCAGGTTTCATGCTTCAGGAAGTATAGTTTGGAAAAAGAGCAACTCTGAAGGTGATTTTTATTCCAGGTTAACAAGAAAGCCTCTAATAATCAGTTTAGCTCTGACAGACTGTGGCTGGGTATTGAAAAAAAGTGATTTAGGCAAATTGGAGGTGATTTAGACACATAAATCCTTTCTTCACAGGAGCGCATTGTGTTTTTTAACAAAAATTTCAGAGATTTTGAAGCCTAGTAATTTAACAATTAAAAGTGATTATGACCAGCTGCATGGCATATGAATAGTATCTCACTAAAGCATATATGTGTATATATATATATAATATATATATAAGCATGTGTGTATGTATGTATATATGTATGTATATATATATATTTACATATATATGTAAATAGAAAGAGGTGAAAGAGGTTAAGATTGAACTGGAAGGACATGCTGACCAAAATAAAAATGACTCACAAATAAAATTCATTTACTTTTGTATTTTGAGAAGGCCCCACCATGGAATTTAATGTGACCAAAAAAATGATCAAAATTCTCCCATTTAGAATTAGTACCACATTTACAATTTTTAGTTCTTTTCTGTGTTCCTAGATTCTGAACAGTTGAAAGTACCTGTAAATTGAAATGTAAGTATGGTGATTTTAAAGTGAACCTTTGATGAGAAATAATCTATTTCATAGGTAAAAAAATACATACTCCAGAGTGACAGAAAGCCAAACCACAGTGACTCATTTCTTCAACCACTGGAATCAAGGAGAATGGCAATAATGTTCCGACCAGAATCAAAACATAATAGCTTTTTGTCACCTGTTGAGCAACAGCATTTTCCTTTACTCCCAGAACCACAGACGCCACCAAATAGTCATACTGCGCAATCAAAACAGAGGAGAGGAGTGGAACATGGCCTGCTGTGGAGAATGACCGAATGTGGCCAATCTGTGGAAATCAGCGGCTTTGCAAATTAAGTCCTCTCCATTGAAGTGAGCATGAAAACTAATCCCATATTGTTCTGAGTGAGGAATGTGTCACCAGCAATGACTCCAAAATACAACCTCATATCGTAATAATTGAACATAATATTCATATGATAATTGAGTCCTCTGTTAGATTAGAGAATCCTTTGGCCTAGCAGCATCCCAAGAGACAAAGTCTATAGTGGCAATGATCAGCTAGAGAAGAGATCTGCTAACCAGGGTACTGAGATTCCCTACAGCAAACTAAAACTCTACCTCAGTGTCATAGTTAACCTTCCATTTCTAGGGATGAATAAGGATGAATGTTACCCCTAGTACCCCTAACATACACCTAACTGCCACTGCCCAAAGTACAGCCAGGTGGGCAAAAACTGGGGACTTGCAAATGCAGCCTTAGGGGTCATTGTCAAAATTATTAGAAGGTCTGAGAAAAAAAAATGCTTTCAAGGTCCATCAACTGTGATAATGTCTTTTTAATCAAGACTGTACTTTTGCTAAGCAAAGCTATAAATCAATTCGAATGGTAGTAAATTAAATGTAGGACTTATAGATAAGAGGATATGGAATTAAACAGAGCTGTATCTGCGTGTGCCGAGAGAACATTAAGGCCAGTTCAGCAGATTCCTATTTCATGCTAAAAAGAAAGTCATATTTGTTCAGAACCATTCCATAGTGAGTGATTTTCATTAATGCCATTATACAGTCTTTCGTTTTTAACATCGCCCAGAATGATTAAATATCAAGATTAACATTGGGATCCTAAAATGTATCTTGATTAGTCTAGAGCTGATTATTCAGTTTGGGGATTATGTATCCCCAACCCCACCTGGCCCCCATCCTCCTTCCTCCCTTGTTCATTCCTCTGTTTGTTCACTCCTGTGTCAGAAAGCATGTGGGCCCAGAGAGAGAGATACATGCAAATTAATCAATTTTGCTACATGGTAAAAGGTTTCGTAGGAGAAGAGATTATAAATAATGGCTAAAATGAAGCTCCTAGACTGTCTGCAGATTTCATTTATCCTTGTTATCTGGTCCCTTGTTAGAAATGTGGCTTCATTTAAAAGTATTATCCTCTAATGCAGTGACTCTCAACACGGGAGCACTTAGAAAGTGCCCCCTCCTACCCCATTATAATTCATGTCCATATTCTGTTCCTCACAACTGCATAGTCAAAGTTCGATATACCCTAGTATGTCTGTAAGGCAAGTGTAACCCACTAGCAGCACTACCAAAGGGCCTCACTTGTACCTGCAAGGCCGATCAGCAAGCCAACAATCTGGATATGCTAAACCACGAGAAGGAGTCATCTGGCTAAAAGCATGAATGAGCATAAAACATGCTCTGGCTAAATCGGGTAGGCTCCATGAAAGCCTGGGACCATTTGGATCCACAATTACCTTCACAGTCCTGACCCTCAAAGTTAAATCTCCCCCTGAACACATCCTGGCCAATAAAACCAATCACTTCCTCAGGTTCATCCTGCCTTAACAAATGCCACAGTTAGCCCCAAATGTTGGGTTTTCATAACCAAATGTTGGGTTTCCTTTTAACAATATGACCCTAGCTTACTCCACTGGTTTTTAGTGGATTCACTTGAATTTAAAAGAAAAAAAAATGTATATGTGGGTATGTATATATACATATATATACATAGTATGTGTATATGTGTGTTTGTGTGTATATATATATATGTATATATGTGTGTATGTATATATATTTATTTATTTGTCAGGAAGTCAAGGAATTGGAAGAGCTTTGACCATGTCTTTGTTCTTGATATCATTTGGCAAAACATGCTTTGCAATTAACAAAGCAGCCAGTCACTAGTCATTCACATAAGACTGACCTGCCAGGCTCAATATGCCAGTTCCATTGAACTGAATAAAAGGACTCTGTTCCTAATGAGAGGAGCTCAGGATATTTGGCACACCCTCTAACCTTTAGAGGCTGGCATCATAGAAGACACACATGCTCTTTCACAAAACAGCCCATGGTACCACGGACAGAAACAAACACTGCATTGGACAGCCCATGAGTCTGACCCAGAGTCTCGAGTTTCTTATATTCTTGAGAAGAGAAAGCCATATGTGGTGTTTCTCCTAAAAGCCCAAAGCCACAATGCCAC